GCATGAACGCTTGGGACAGCGTCACTGCAAAGAGATGCTGCGTCGTGGGAGCCAGGGTTGAGGTCAGCGCCGGTCAGACATGCTGTGTGAAGAAGAAGAGAGGTCGACTAGGCCGCCGGGAGTGCAGAGCAGGAGACCGGGAGAGTTGGGGATGGGAATACACATGTGGGGGTTATTGCGTTAGGTAGTATTTGTAGCTGTGGAAATCGAGGAAAGACTGTGAAGATGATATGTGTGAAAGTATTTTGTATAATATTGGTGGTGTTTTTATAATTACCATTTTTAATGAGCCCAAGAAAGAACATAGGGGGTGAGAAAGAGGAAAAGCGAAAGCATTCAGAGAGGGGAGAGGGGAGAGGCAGGGGGGGCAGGTGTTGATTCATGGAAGCGAGAGAGGGGGTGGGGCTGAGGGGCAAAGTGCTGGCGGCTTCCGAGCCCAGGAGAAGGCCACAGAGCACGGGTCCTGGGTCTGGCCGTGTCTCCCAGCTGTGTTACCTTGGGCCTTCATCTCCTCACGGGACGTGGGGATAATCACACCTCCCTCCGTGTTGCTGTGGATGAGATGATAGGGAAGAAGCAAGTGCTTCTGGTTGTGCTCTCCTGTTGTCAGTGGGGTGGAGAGTCTAGGGAAGGAGGAGAAGCAGGAGGAAGGAGACCAGGCACTGGGAGGCAGCGGGGAGGCCAGTGGGATGCATGGTGTGCCTGGGTCAGGACACCCAGCTGGAGGCCCAAGTCTACGTATTTACTGGTCACGGCCAAGAGCTCCTAACTGGTGGTTATCAGTACTGGAACCCCGTGTGGGCATTAACAACTGCTGACCCTGGGGCCCCACATCTGACCAGTAGCCTCTGACTCTACTGGGCCTGGAAACCGCAGCTTCAGGACCACCCTTCAACCCTGTGTGGTTCTTAAACATTTTTTTCTGTCAGTTTGTCTCACTGACCACAAGATGGTGCCCTCTTTCTGCAAAATCTTCGATGTTCACCAAATGGGAAACAATTCCTTTTCTCTATACTCCTCAAAGAATGGATTTGAATTTAACGATCATCATAGCATCTCATTGAGCCAGAATGTGGTCCCCTTGGTGTCCATCCTTTTAATGAGAATTTTCCCCCCTGCTAGGAACTGTACTGGGTTGGGGTGTGCTGTCTACTCTTCTGCATTCCTCAAGGGGCTCTCGTGCAAAGCGGAGTAGGTACTTGTTGCTGCTTTATGATCATAAGTATTAGTATCAATAACAACTAATGTTCATTTCATCCTTTACCTTTTGCAAAGTGCTTTTCACCAACTATCCTCAGACTAACTCTGTGAAATGGGTATTGTTCTCATTTATAGATGGGAAAAATGAGGCTCAGAGCACTAGTTTAAAGTCACAAGGCAAACGTTGGCAAAACCAGGTCCTGAGCCATCTGGGTGCTCAGGCGGGAAGAGCGGTGCCATCGGGGGCTCAGCAGCAGTCGGCGCCGGGAAAGGACAGCCTGAGAGGCTCTCGGGACAGCCTCGGCCGACTTCCAGGCAAGCAAAAGGCAGGTGTCTTCCTGCAGTTTCATGCCTGTTGGTCAGCAGACCCGTCTGACTGGGCTCAGTGACCAGCGGAGGTTAACATATGTGAGTTTCCAGTGCAAAGCTGTATAGAGTCAGCAGTGACTCAGCAAGAGGATCTTATTCTTTTAAACCTTCTGTTCCAGGATAATGAACTGCTGTGCCGGGGGGGAAATGAACCTAAATTCTGCCTTAAGAAAAATGTACACTCATCTCCAAAGAAAATCATTTTCTATACCAGCAGGCGATGTCTTATGAGGTTAGTGGATCTGATCGAGATCATGTACAACATCATTTATAGACTTGCTGCCAGACAGATTCCCATAATCAGGAACCCAAGTGGCAGGGCCCGGCCCCAGCCCCCAGGGTGTTTTTATCCCACACGAAGGGGCTGTAAATGTAGGTTCAAGTTACTTGGAGCAGGGAGGCTGGTTTCAGGACAGAAGCAGATACATGGAAAGTTGAATAGATTCATATTTTGATCCTTTTACTGGCTGTTGTAACCATTTTCTGTGCCTCAGCTTCCCTGTCTGTGAAATGGCAGCGACAGCACCTATCTCCTAGGATTGTTATAAGGGCCAAAACAGGCTATTTATAAAGCACTAAGCCATGCCCAACACAACAAGCACTGTGTTTCTTAAATAATATTAAATACATGGATATGAACATTACATATATTCTACAAGTAAAAATTTCAGTTTTTTTTTTCAAAATTGGAAGGAATTTTAAAATTCTGTTATTGGTCCACTTGTAGGCACAGGAAATATACTTTAGAAAGCATTACCTTATGGCTAAGATTTGAAATCCCACCCTGACTGGTGTGGCTCAGTGGTCAGGATGCTGGCCCACAAACCAAAGGGTCACAGGTTTGAGTCCTGGTCAAGGGCACATACCTGGCTTGCAGGTTCGATCCCAGGCCCCAGTCAGGATACATGCAGGAGGCAATCAATCAATCTCTCTCTCACATCGATGTTTTTTTCTCTCTCTCCCCTCCCTCCCTCCCTTTCTCCCACTCTCTCTCAAAAAAAAAAAAAGAAATAAAATAAAATTTCAAATCCCACTGAAAATGCACATTTGATTAGAATGGTACTATATATAGTCTTTCGGGCTTTATAACTATGTTTTCCTTTCACTATTACTGATGGCAAATAAGCCCATCTGCTGCCTAAAGAAATACAAGTATAGCCAAGGTCAGTGTGGCTCAGCGTTTATAGTGTCAGAGTCGCGGGTTCAATTTCTGGCAAGGGCAGGAACCTCGGTTGCGGTTGGGTCCCCAGCCAGCTATGTGGGAAGCAACCAATCGATGTCTCTCTCTCATATCGATTTTTTTTTCTCTCTCTCTCTCTCCCTACCATTCTATCTGAGGATAAATTCAAAAATATCTTCAGGTGAGGATTTACAAAAAAGAAAGAAAGAAGAAAGACAAGTATAATGCAGTGACCGAATTTTTCTTTCTCTTTTAAAGGAAAGCTCTCCGTTTTCTCCAGGCGATTCCTTCTCGGTGTGGGAATGAGTGGTCCTTGCAGAGGGCGCCCTTGGCCTTCCTGACTACGGAGGCTCCTCCGCCCGGTTTCCGGGGAGAGCGTGCTCCGCGGCGGTGTTCCCCAGACCTCCACCTGCAGGCACACATGTAGAGCATTCACAGAAAGAGGGTTCATGAAATCCTGAAGAAAGACTGGAATGCCAAGGATGTAATTGGGGCAGGATTTGGAAGAAAAACACAAGAACTGAATGTTGCTTTTCAATCTAGTGATCGTTATTTTCACGCCTCATTTTGGCATTAATCTTCTTTTAATAGAGCTAACATATTATTTCCTGTTAATGGCTATTCAAGACTTTGGATTCTTTTTTTTTTTTTTTCAGGCTGTTTTGAGGACATGGAGAGAAAGACATATCATTTCCAACCTAGCCAGTGTGGCTCAGTTGTTGAGTGTTGACCTATGTACTAAGAGGTTGCTGGTTTGATTCCCGGTTGGGGCACATGCCCAGATTGTGGGCCAAATCCCCAGTGGGGGGCACGCAGGAGGCGGCCAGTTGATGTTCTCTCTCATCAATGTTTCTCTCTCTCTCTCACCTTTCCTCTCTCTCTAAAATCAATAAAGAAAAATGAAATTTTTAAAATGTATTATTTCCAGCTACCACAAAACTCCCTCCTCTTCCCTCCTGGTACACAGGCCAATACATCAAACCCGTGTAGCACCCCGCCTTCTTGCACAGACCCCACTTCCAGCTCAGAGAGCCCCTGCCACTGTGGCCGGCCCCACCAGGCCCAGGAGGAGGTGGAATACGTCGGGGCTGGGACAGAAGTAGGTTCAAGATCCAGCCACTTCCGTTTTACCCTATAGAAACGAAATGTTTAAAGAAGTTTAAGTTCGTTAGAACCAACATCTCAGGGCAGCTACACTGAGAACACCACAGGCATCTGTGCCTGGAGCCAGGACCCTAACAATCACATTATTGTTTCTATAGAAAAATGAAATTCTAATTCCAAATACCTGACCTCAAATTAACCTTTACAGCAGAAGTGGAGTGGGGACTATTCCACGCACAGCCGGCACACTTGGGGACCGTCCCTGCTTCCACCCATTGGGCTGTGCACCCGCCTGTGTCCGAACACTGTCCTGAGGGAGGACCACGCAAGCACCACAGAAGGGAAAAGCTGAGGCCGAAAGAAGACAGTTGCACATTTTATGTTCACTGAACTCAAAGCCATGGTTCTGTTTGTTGTAAACTCACCTTCACTGAGTTGAGAAAAATCAATATTAAAAATGTCCCTTTTTTTAATATATATAGAGAGAGCTGTTGTGTTATAAAACACAATACACATTTTGAAAACTGTGAATCTCACTCGGGTCGACTATTTAACTTTTCCAAGCCTTGGTTTCCTTATATACAAACAGAAATGATTCTAAAACTCCCTAGGATTAATTTTTTTTTTTTAAATCTGAGACCATGTAAATGCCTAGCAATAAATTTGGTGATTATTTCTCATCCCTTTTCCCTCTAAATCTATTTAACCTCTTTTTTAACTCACTGGTTCAAGTCAATAAAAAAAATTTTTTAACTACATTTAAGTTTCAGAAGTCTTGATTTAAACTTTTCTCTATACTTAAGTAACCTTGATTTACTTGACTTAGGTTAATGTCCAAAACAGACTAATGTGGGTAGATTACTAACTTATACATTAAGTTGTAAGATTCATAGAGCTTACTTATGTGGATGATTGTACACGCTTATTTGAACTGACTCACCTGTGTCTACCTCCAAAAAACATTTGATTTTCATAAGACTTTGTGGACTTCACATTTTTTTATTTTATCTTTTGTTTACTTGAAGAGGGATTTAGACTTTTGTAACAGCCTCAACCAAGATTCTTTCTGTAACAAGTTAGCAAAGTCAGATTGTGTTGAATGAATCAAAGAATGACCTCGATGATGGACAAATCGGGTTTTATTTAAGTAGAGTCGTCACGTATTCTCTCCTATATACTAGCAGGACCATCTCGCGGCAGGAGCAGAGGCAAGGGTGGGGAGTGGCATCCTGCAACCGGAGACAATGCTATGAGCAGTAGGCGGTGCCTGCTGTCCTTCGGGGTCCTGCTGACGGCAGGTGAGGAGGCCACTCTGCTGCCTGGTGTGTCCAGGACTCTGCCCCTCTGGACACTCTCTCCCTGGCCCCTACTATTCCTGCTATCTGTCCTCTTACTGGCTATCAGAGTTGGGGGACCTGTCTGTTGGTTGGAATTTGATGCCCTTGCTCCTTATTCCATGGTTTCATAATCCTCACTTTTTTCAGACAACTCTGTGTCCGCTGTAGGTGGAGTCCTGCCTGACAAACTTGACCTCAGGATAAAAAACACACTCTCTGTTGTGAGAAAACCTAAATATACAATCTCTTGCCCCCCCAAATCACATGTATAAGCCCATGTTCAAAAATGTTATTCCCTTTAGCTTATAGTAAGATCAGAATGCTTTCTTTGCTTTGAATTGAAATGTAGTGGGTTTTTTTTCCTCCTCTCATAAAAGATGTGTTTCTATTGTGCCGCTACTATATAGCCAAAGCTTGGACATGTGCGGACACCTGCATCTACTGTGTGTGTGTTCAAGGTTCATTCAGGTGGCTTAATATGAAGCCAAATGTCTGGTCCTACATTAATCTTCAAGAGTGCTGATTTTATCTTTGTGGTGCAGAAATAAGGCCAAATAAACAGGCACAGAGTAGACCTATAGAAATGGCTTTAACTTACTAATCCACTACATCTTTGACAACAATTTTAGATAAAAATGGTCCAGAGGACAGAGCGCATAATTAATGATGAGAAAATGATTCCTTCAAGTCCCATAATAAAGAGTTCTCCCTTCGGTAATCATTTGTCCAGCGTTTTATTCATGCAAAAGTGATGGTTACTTCTTGCTTCTGTCCCCTTCACTCCAGTACTGCTCCGTCTGCATTTCGGTGAGTCGGGAGAGTGTGCGCTGAAACGCGAAGATCTCCTCTTCTCCGGTAAACATGGACAGGCCTGCTGCGTCCTGGTGACCAAATAACAGAACAGTAACCCTGCACCAACGAAAACCACTACAGTAAAAACTTACAACATTAAATGCAAAAACGTTCCAGGTTTATATGTTTGGATTATAAAATGTTCTATACATTTTTTATAGACAATCTCTTAAATTAAACTAGAGAATCAATTAATTTAAACCAATAATCAATAAACAGAACAAATTACCAGGGAGAAAAACCATACAAAAAATAGAATAATTGAAGCTAAAATGAAACCCCAAAATACAAATATGAAGATTTTTGTTCAAAGTTCTCTGCAAAATCTAAAGGAAGGACCTTGCAGATAGAATAGTAATTCTCCTCCATAAGTGCATGCCAAAAATACGTAAAAGCAAAAATCAGTAGTCCTGGCAAATTAGAAAGAAGTTGACGCTCACGAGGGGAGGCCCTGACGACAAACCTCTGAGCCTCTTCCAAACTGGATGACTGAGAGGTCTCCTGTGCGGCCTGGAGACTGAGCCTGGGCTGACTTTGGGGAGGCCCGAGCTGCTTCCAGTCTTCAGTTGCTGGGACACTTGGTCCTCCCCTCTAGGGTTAGGTTGGGGAGCGGCTGTGAGGCCAGTAAACAGCCTAGGACTGGTGATCCCAACAAGGACTTGCCACTAAGTCGATGTTGAATTTTTGTCTTACTTCGGAGGTTTCTCTTTCAGATACAAGTTCTGAACTGCTAAGTCCATGTTCCCCACTGACCCACGAAAACTGCAGGGCCGTGTAGTCACGTGTCCTGATTTCTCCATAGTAGGTCCAGGTGCTGAGCTAACTTTACCTTACATCTTGAACCCTGATCTTATGGGGGGAGTATTTAAAAGCCAATGATTTAAAGGACTTTAGAAACAGAGACAATATTTTTTTCAAGTTGTTAAGACATCATTTCAAAAGGTGGCAGCACATGGCTTTATAAGCAGCTATTTATTTCTCCATGTATTTTAAGTAATCATATTTTCAAAGTTTGCTTTTTAAAGAATAACTGGCCTCATTTCCCCAAACTCCCAAGAATACATACTTCCTACTCAGGTCAATAGAAAACTGTTTCCTCATTCCAAATGGCCTTTTACCTCTAGGATTGGAAAAATGGGGTTCCCCTCATTTGTGAGGTGAGTGTTTATAGTTTTAAAATTCTGACAATATCTTTTTAATTAAATTAATCAGAGTAACACTGGTCAATAATAACATTATATAAATTTCATGTGTACAACTTTATGATACAAAACTGTATCCTCTATTGTGTGCTCACCATCTGAAGTCCATTTTCCTTCTGTCACCATATTTTTGACCTCTTGTACCCTCTTCACCCTCCTCCCACCCTCTTCTCCTTGTAACCACCATACTGGTGCATCCGTGAGTCTGGTTTTTGTTGTTCATTTGTTGCTTTTTGTTTTATATCTCACATATGAGTGAAAACATGGTTCTTGTCCTTTTCCATCTGACTTATTTCACTTAATATAACACTCTCAAGATCCACCCAGATTGTCACAAATGGCAGTATTTCATCTTATTTATGGCTGAGTAGTATTCCACTTTACATATGCTCCAACTTTTCTAAATCCAATCATCTACTGAAGGACACTTAGGTTGCTCCCATGTCTTGGCTAATTGTAATGCTGCAATGAACAGAGGGGTGCATATATCTTTACAAATGTTTTCAAATGTTGGGGTAGACACCCAGAAGAGAGATTACTGGGTCATATGATAGCTCTCTTCTTAATGTTTCGAGGAGCCTCCATAGCGTATTTCATAGTGCCCGCACCAATGTACGTGCCCACCAGAAGTGGGTAAGGCTTCCCTTTCCTCCCCATCCACCCCAACACTTGTTAGTTCTTGTCTTCTTGATAATAGCCCTTCTAACAGGTGTGAGGTGGTATTTCATTGTGGTTTTGGCTTGGATTTCCATTATAACTAGTGACATTGAGCATCTTTTCATCTAGCTGTTGGCCATTTGTATGTCTTCCTTGGAAAATTGTCTATTCAGGTCCTCTGCCTGCTTTTTAATCAAATTGTTAGTTTTTTCGTTAAGTTGTATAAGTTTTTTATACATTTTGGATAATATCCCCTTATTGGAAGTATCATTTACACATATTCTCTCCCAAGGGTTGGTTGCCTTTTCGTTTTGTTGGTGGTTTCTTTTGCTGTGCAGATGCTTTTGAGTTTGATCTAGTCCCATTCATTTTGTTTTTCTTTTCCTTACACCTTGCCTTTGGGGTCAAGATCACAAAAACCCTTCTCATACCATGGTCCATAAGTTTAGTACCTATGTTTTCTTCTATGTGTTTTATTGTTTTAGGTCTTATTTATATTCAAGTCTTTAATACATTTTGAGTTAATTTTTGTGAATGATGTCAGATAGCATTGACTAATATTTTGATTGTCTACAGTTGAGAAATATACCCTGTGGTGCTTATTTATGTTTATAGAGAAGAAGGAAATGCAGTCACTTCTGGTTGGCCTGGGATAAATCACCAAACCCCAAGCATCAGGAGAACAGGGCCAGCACTGGCTGGTTCCCCTTAGGATGTCCCCAGAGCCTGGCAGCCATGGGCACTCCATACATGTTTATGGAATGGGGGATGGGAGAAGAATCATGGATTTGTTTGGAAGCCAAGGGCCTTGCTAAGCACTCCATGGTCCTGGAATAGCCAACCCACCTGCTTGGATACTATATTGTGCATGCTACAAACCCATCAGACATGAACAGGAATATCCAAAAAAGGCAGTACGGTGTGGCAGAATAAGCCAAGAATCAGACACGGGTGGCCAGGTGTTCAGCTCTGGGCTATCATTAGTCAGTGGTATGACCATATACCCAGTAGTCCACCAATCTGTCCTTTGTTTTTGTCATAAGCAAAAATGATCAGTAAGATTCCTTCCATTCCGAGACTGTAATTCTCTGTATTTAGTGATATAGAGAACAAGTCTGCTATACCAGCTTAAGAAGAAAGCAGCGAATCAACAGTTAAATATATACTGCATTCCTTTTTCAAAATGTAGCCATGTATCAAACCAAAAACAATTAAGCTGTTTTATAATAAAATAGAATTATGTTAATATCAAGTACCTGGCTCAGCCCCAAATCATCCATCATTATTCTGCTTTGGTCCAACAATTCACTGTCATGAAGTTGATGCAGAAATAAGCTTGATAAAGGAGTCGATGCGGAGCAAATTACGCGCACCTGAAACAGAAGAAAATGAGATGGTATTGCTCCTCACACTTCACAAGCTGAAGGCAAGAACACATCTCTCAGAAAATAAAATTCTGTTGTCACAACAGGGAGCTTAGATTTTGTTTTTTAAATGTCCATATTTTTTCTAATAGTTTTTATGTTTGTTTAAAGTGATATTTTTAAACTGCACAGTACTTTTCAAAATATTTCCACACAGCTTACACCATCCCGTGAGGTAGGGAGCAGAGGTTTTATTGGGTAACTTCAGACCTGGAGAGGTCTCAGCTCATGACGCCAGACCATCTTCTGGTTCTAAGTCCAACAGTCTTTCCATTACACCTGAGGCCGACACTTACCTGGCTGTTTGGAGCCCGCCTCTGAGTGTGGCAAAGGTGCTGCCCAGATGCACTGCAGAGGTTAGCACTTCGCGGGGAGGTCGCTGCTAAATTCAGTGCATTGCTCCTCCAATTACACCCTGAGTTTGCAGAACCTAATTTATATCAACATCCTGCCAAGACATTCTTCCAAAAGACTAAGGTTTACGTTCATATTTCTTGATTACATAAGTGTTTGAGTGAGTGTGCATAGGTGATGGTCCCATGTTGTAAAGAGCTTTTATATCTTTATAATTTTACATCCACTAGTTTAAATACAAAACATATTCTCCCTGCTGTTTAAAAGTCCTGAATTTATTCTCAGGATTTGCAGCAATCTTTTAAAAATCATTATTTAAAAAAATATGTCAATACTCTAAAATAATGTATTGACATGTGGAACTAGTTTTTCCATATCCAAATGGTCTTCCGTCTCCTTTTATAAATTCTTTTAATCACAAATGACACTTCTTTCATTATTTATATGCGAATACCCTTATTTCACAAATTTCCATGAATACATTCCAGAATGATGTCTGTTTAATGCTCCCAATTTCTGAAATAAGATAATTTTGACGACTCTAAATGTCTGATTTAGTTAACATAAATGTATAAATGTTAGGAGAGTCCATCATATTGCCAGATAAATCTTTTTTCTCTAATTAAGAGGTAAAACAGTGGGGGTGAGGTAGGGTTGGGGGTGAGGACCATAAGCTTTCTTTAAGGTATGCCTAGCTGAAAGATATTTAAAAAATGAGTTTAACCCTGGCAAATTTGGCTTAGTGGTTAGAGTGTTGGCCTGTAGATTAAATGGTCTCAGGTTCGATTCCCAATCAAGGGCATGTACCTGGATTGCAGGTTTGATCCCCATCCCTGGTTGGGTCATGTGGGAGGCAACCAACTGATGTGTCTTTCTCACATCAATGTTTCACTGACTCTCTCCCACCTTCACTCTTTCTAAAAATCAATGGAAAAAAATATCCTCAGGTGGTGACTTAAAAAAAAGAGTTTATCAATTCTACACTCTAAGAACCACCTACCAATGCCCCTCTACCACTTTTCTGTTGGAGTGCTGGTCCCTCTAAAAACAGTGCCACCTCCAGGCTCACTCCCTTTATTCTGACCCCCACGTGGCTGGTTCGGAGCAGACTCCCCGGAGGAGTGACCCGGGAGACCACCAACAATTAATGGAACTCGCTCCCCAGCGCTGGTGTCTGAGCTCCGTGCCTCTCCTGACGCCCTGATCACGTGTGCGCTGGCCCCATGGAGTGCACGGCAGCTTTTGAGTCACTTGCTCAGGCAGGCCCTGCAGCCCTGCACCACAGCCAAGCGGGCTGCTTCCCGCTCAGGCCCATCACAGGGCCTTTGCTGCAAACTCCCCACCCTGGCGACCCTTTTCATCTGCGCTCAAGTTCAGTCACCACTTCTGGGCATTTGACAAAACCCTGGAGGAGGCCATGAACACGTCGGGCTAGGCCCCTCCTTGGTCCTCCGCTGCCAGACGGGGTGGGCACTGGAATCCAGATCCTAAGTAGCCCAGAGGGTTCTGATGCAGGTGGTCCTCAGCAGCACTTCCTGTGTCCACCCTGCCCTCCACCCCCAAAATCAGTCTCCTCTCCCCACACTCTCAAGGCACCATATCTCCAAGAGATCATCCCACCGTGTGACTCACACCCAGTTCTGCGGACGTCTGACTAAGGTTTCCCTGACACTGAACTAGAAGCTCCGTGGAGGCAGGCCCAGGTCTGGCTCTGCTGCTCACGGACTTCCAGCACTCCGCACTGGCTCGCGTGACACGTGGCTGGAAGAACGGATAAATGAAACATTAAAGGCTCACCTCTCCCTCCCAGAAGATTCTGGCCCTTTCCTCCTCCCACCAAAGTCCCTTCCATTTTAAAACCGTTGCTCTATCTGTTTCTGTATAAGAAATGGAAACAAAATTGTATCTAACAGTAAAATACTATTTAGATTAGCCCTAATATGAAGTTGTACTAAACTTTTGCTATGGATATACACTGACAGGTCTAAACTACTAGCTTAGAAAGCTTCACTACAGGCCACAGGACGTGCTAAGGGCTTTACATGCTCGTGCAATCCTCACAACAGCCATGCGAGACGAGCACCACTGTTGCCTTTGCTACAGAAGGCAACTGAATGCGAAGAGGTTAAGCTGGTCCTCCAGGTAGACAGCCTGGCCCCAGGGACCACTCCTTAACCACTAGGTCACACTGCCTCTGATGAGCGAACCATGGCTTGCAATTCATGCTGAAACCCCTCAATAAAAGCAGGAAGATGGCACATTGCTAGTTCCTAGGGTTTCTGGGTCATAGGGAGGCAGAGAGCCAAGACTGAGGAGGTTCTTTAGATATTCATTCATTATTTTATCAGTCCAATCATTTGCTCATGCAACGAATATTTACTGAGCACCAGTCTAGGTGAGGTGTTGTGTGGTACCTCATCATAGAGCATATGATATGTCTAGTTGAATGATGGAATCATTACTATAACAGAGGGTCTTAAGATGGGAGTAGTAGCAGTACAAGTAGTTACTATGAGTACTATTACTACGAGTATTATTACAATAAGTAATGTTACTATGAGTACTGTCACTATAAGTACTGTTACTACTAGTACTTACACAGCACTCAGTGTGTGCCAAGCATTTTTTTTCCCTCACCAGAGGACATTTTTGCATTTATCTTCAGACAGAGAGGGAGGGAGAGAGAGAGAAACATCAACGTGAGACAGACACATCGAGTGGTTGCCACGCACACAACCCCAACCAGGGCCGAGGACAAACTGCAACCGAGGTACGTGCCCTTACTGGGAACCAAACCCGGGACTCTCTGGACCATGAGCCAACGCTCTAACCGCTGAGCGAAACCGCCCAGGGCCCAAGCATTCTTTTAAGTATTTTACATGGATTAGTTTATTTTGTCCTCACAATTCCCTGAAGTAAAAAAAAAATACTATTCCAATTTACAGATGAGGAAACTGAGGCACACTGAAGTAAACCAAGTGGTAGACCAGGATTCCAACCCAGGTGAAATGGCTCCACAGTCCAAAGGGTTCAGTTTTGAGAAAATGTACATTACAGCCTTACCTTGAAATCATAAAAGTTATCAATGAGAGTTATGAATCTTCGAGCTTGAGTCCTTTTCGCCAGGGTAAATTGTGGAATGTTCCGTAAAAATACTGTATCAAAATTCTTTGATAGTTCCAAATAGTCACTGGCTCCAAGAGGCTGTAATGAAAATGAAATAAAGGGGCAGAACATTAAAATAAGCCAATTCTGGTTGCTCGGGGATTAGCATCCTTTGAAAACACCTCTTTTCTTGTCATGATGTAACCTGGGTAGCGGCTTTGGGGTACTTGACCAAATAGGGCAGTGTTTCCAGAATAGGCTAAGGACGGTGTATCCTATACTGCAATCATGATGTCAAAAGGGGGTGAACAGAAGAGTATGTGGGGAGTGAAAGAATACCTCTAGCCACCACAGTGGTAACTTGCAGGCCCCTGTCCTATATCCAATCTCCACTCCTTTTATTTACATGACGTAACCTTAAACATGCCCAGGACTCCACCACAAACAGCCACTGTTGTTAAATGGAGCTATCTTATAATGCCATGCTGAATATCATGTTACCATTTGAAACTCATCAGAAAATAGTTTTCCTGTGGTTGAGGTAGGTATCCAGGTGTGGTGCAGGAAACACTGCTAACCTCTGCGGGAGGGAGCAGGGCTGAATGACCAGCAGTAAGGAGACCTCGGCATGATTTGGCATGGCATGCTCTCTCTTCACTCGAGGGGGTACAGACCCCAAGACCCACAAAATTAGTTACAAAGATGCCACCTACAGATATAAAGTGCTTATTCCTGAAACATGGATTAAACTCACAAAAACTATGAGGCTGTCTGCAAACACATTCTTTGGGGTTAGGAACATACCAGGAAACGTCACCTTCCCTCATTTTGAGTTGTATGTGGACCGCTGTACCTGTGAGCAGAAGCCATGAGCAGGGCCCCGTGGAGTGTTTCTGGCCCCACTGGAGTGCGGGGGGGACCAGAGATGGAGTGGGCCGGGATCTCCTCTGACGTCCCTCAGCAAGCTCCTGGATCACCACGACCCACGCCTGATGCTGGGATACAGGCGCTAAGCCTCCTCAATTTCTGGCAGAACCATTAATGTCCTCCTTGTCAGGAAATGTCCCCCTCATGTGGGGAGTCATTTGCATTAAAACTCCTTTCAGAAATGTAGATGGACTATGTTCTTGGGAGAATTAGGGAACCGTGAGGATGGGGAGAGTCATTCATTCCCACTTAGAGCCCATTAATTTAGGCCCACCACTACCCTAAGCAGCTGAACACAGCTACACTCAGGAGAGAAGACTGCTCCCAGAGGTCTGGGAGGTAAGAGCAACCTGAGAGTTACATTCTGGAGAAGGGGTTCCCTGCAAGGGGCAGTTCTAAGGAGGAGGTGGCAATTTGGAGACCTGGGGCAAAGGGGCAGAACACCAGAGAGCTTGAGCACAAAGAACGACCAGAATCCTCTGCAAGTCTACTTAGACTTTCCCTTCTCCTCCCACCAACAGATAACAAATGGGGGGAAGAAGGAGATAACCTTGGCCTTCCCATTCCCCTCCCTTGCTGGAGAGCATTTACCTCCAGACCCAGTGCCTGACCTTAGCTGACTCTCCCCTCACCTCGGCCACACAGGGTCGAGAGAGAGAGAGAGAGAGAGAGAGAGAGAGAGAGAGAGAGTGTGTGTGTGTGTTCGGTTTTAACCCTGACTCTCTTACAAGGAAACCTTGCTGTCAAACCTGATATGGACCAGGAATGTGTGTTAACAGAGTAGCTAGGAGCAAGGACTCCAGACTGCCTGGGTTTGACTCCTCAGCTGGTCACTTATAAACTGTGGGCTTTTTGCAAGTTATGTAATCTTTCTGTTCCTTAGTTTTCCCATCTGTAATATGGAAATTTGATCCTTTCTCATAGGATTGAGAGGATTAAACGAAATCATACATGTGAAGCATTTAGCATGGTGCCTGGGCATACATTAGCAATCAAACCATTTTGGTTGCTTTTAATTTTTACTATTTTGAGCTGAAATGATTAGGCCTCAGCACAAATGAGCTGAGGATGTAGAGAAGTGTTATTCGCAGTAGGACAGTGAGTTTTGCTCCACCACCCTAAACCCTAACTCAGCCTTTGTGCACCCTGTCCTGAGTCACAGCAATGACAGATGAGACTGTGGAATCCTCACGTAACAAAAACAATTCCCAGAAGGGGGAGGAGGAGGCAAGACACAGTGTCTTCCTGCAAAAAAGGATAACTCAATAAAACTCTCATGTTCTGAGGGTGACACACACTACTTTTTTTTTTTTAGATGAGTTAGAATTTAGTGTTTCATCTTTTGTAAATAAGAAAGTACATGTAAAAAATGTAAAACCTCATCTTCAGTATGTAGTTATGTATAATTAAGCCCACTCTTTATGCATGAATGTGATTTCTATCAGAATAACTACCTGCCCAAGGAAAATCATCATCAGAAGTGCACTGAAGTGCCTGGGGCAACTGAACATCAGAATTCTGCCCGCTCAGCTATTTTTACAAATTGTGTACCTCCGTCAGTAGGCTCTGCATTTGTCATTACATTAGCCAATATCCCTTTCCTTCGTATGCCTGAAACAGTTATGTGCTCATTCCCGAAAAGAAAACTAAGCTTAAGGTAGTTATCTAGCTCCTTTAAAGACGATCGTCATTGGGGAGAATGGGGAGTTGGTGTTGAGTGGATACGGAGTTTTAGTCTGGGCTGATGAGAGTTCTGTAGATGGACAGTGATGACGGTAGCACAACAACGCGAATGTACTTAAGGCCACTGAAAGGTACACTTAACCATGAAAAAAATGGTAAATTTTATGTGATGTGTTATTTTACCACAATTAAAAAATAGTCATTAAAACAAGGAAAGGTTACTAATTGCCAAAGAAATTCCAATCTGGGCCATGGAGAGATAGCAATATTATTTTTTTCTTTAAAAAACACGAGAAAGAAGAATAAAATGTATTAAATCAAGGAAGCCTTTTCCTAAGAGAAATCAGCTCCACTAAGATTAAGATTACTTTTAAATATTAGAATTTTTTTTTTTTAAGTAAATATTTAAAGAGTGCGTTTTCTTGTCCTGGCTTTCATGTTGAAGTGTCCAAGAACTGACACTCAAATAAACTTTCAGGATTTAACCTGGTGGCAGATGGGGATTTCTTATCCATCAGAAATGCTGTTTTTCATAAAGAAGTTAAACAGTTGTGAGCAAAAATCCAGTAGAGGCCTTGGTCTGTCACTTCTTCGTGTGACTTTGAGTATGTCTCTCTGAACTCATGTGTCCCCCATCACAAGACCTATCCTCAGGTTACGCCCCAAGAACTCCGTGTACTGCCTTCGTGCGAAACCCTTCCACTGCGGCTGCCGCATAGCAAGTGCTCAAAGTGTTAGTTAGAATCAGCAGAGAGCATGCCTGAAGCAGATGAAATGATATATGCATATACACTATTTGGCATACAACAGACGATAAATAGTAGCTATATTTTTATAACCTATGAAATAACCGTTTCCTCAGCTCATGACCCAAGCAGGCTAAGTAAGAAGACAGTTCGGCTGACTGCAGCCTGCCTCTGCCTTTCCACAGCAGGTAAAAGCTGCTCCCTTTCGTCCCTCCTGCCAGCTCTGACCCACCGAGATTTCTGCCCTCCTGGCACCTTAGCCTTCATGAAGTCAAATTTAGATGACAAAACCAGCTTCTGCCACAGGCCCACTCCCTCCCAAATCGGTCTGTAACACCATTAGCACCATTTGTAGGGAAACACCCGAGGCCCACACAGTGAAGAGCCCCTAAACCAGTACATGACACACAGAAAGTACTTCATATATATTGAATGAATTAGTGATTCGATGTATGAATAAAACACAACAGAGCCTGGGCAGCAGGCTTATTCCTTCTTTTAAACTCATTTGTCTCAAAACATTTGAAACACCTGCCAAAAAGAGAGAGAGAAAAAAAAAACACCCTTTCTTAGTTGGCCCAAATTCCCCACTCCCAAGGCAAGCCTTTGTTGCACAGCCTAGTGTGTATGTAGGAAAAAGTCTAGAAAGATCTAGACCAAAATGTGAACAAGTAGTTATCTTTGGATGGTGGAAGAAAAGATGAATTTTGTTTCTTTGTTACATGTTTTTGTCCTTCCCCCTAGCCCCCAGTGAACTTGTGTTACTTTTAAACAGCAAATACAACAGAGTGGTTTTTTGTTTGTTTTTTATCCTCACCCGAGGACATTTTTCCATTTTTGTTCAGAGAGAGTGGGAGGGGGAGAGAGGAAGAGAGAGAGAGAGAGAAACATCGACGTGAAAGGGACACACTGAGTGACTGCCTCCTGCATGACCCCAACCAGGGCCAGGGATAAACTGCAACCAAGGTACGTATCCTTAACCAGAATTGAACCTGTGGCTCATTGGTCCACGGGCCAACACTCTAACCATTGAGCCAAACCAGCCAGGGCCAGTGTTTTTTTTAGGTCATTTTTATAATGGGCATCAGTGTGAGATCATAATATCAGTTTTGACATAGACCATTCCCCACCATCCCGCCCATTTTGTTATTCTATAGAAGTGAAATTTTTTTTCAGGGACATTTAAAAATAAAATAAAATGTAAGCTGAACGCATATTTTCTCCTTTAAAGTTTGACAAAAGAATAGAGGATTTGATATTTGGGGTGAAGTCTGACTTTAGTTATATAGTTATAGTCAACAAATGACACTAGGACAAGGAGGGGGTGAATGGTAGCATCCCCAAATAATCTCTTTAATCCTCAGAGCCAAGCACCAGAGTTCCCCAGATCAAAGGCCGAAGTAATGTCAAAATCCACATCACAGCCCAGGTTGACCTTTATACCGTGGCTTAATCTGAGCGATTTTTCTCCATGTAAGCTCGACGGTTAGTGTGTTCCTTTAGCTCATAAAGGTCAGACAATATCCAGTCCATCTGTACATGTACATTGCCTCTGCTCAATTCGCTCTCTTCCCCTTCTGGTTCTCTAAAGGAACCCAGGGTAAACTTCATATTCTCCATTTCTTTTATCCTTTCTTTTGTATTTTCCTTTTTCACTTCCTCATGGTTCATTTTGGCTAGATTCCTCTGACTTATGTTTCTAAGTCCATTATGTTTCTTCATAGCTATATTTTATCTGCTCTT